TTTTTTTTTTTTTGAAGGAATGAGGATTTATTTTGCACTTGTCAAGGTATCTAATGCTGTGTGCATTCTCTGATGATGAGCCCCATGCTTCCATAGATAAGTTCTTTATTGAACTTACCAGAGAAACACAGTGGACTTTGCCAGATCACTTGTTTTTTCCAGCATCTTAAAGTCACTGTTTTACAGTTCTCTTACTTACCCTTTTCTCTTCCCAGCCCTAGAAGTTTGGTGTAAGATAAATCACAAAGTTTGCACATGGATTTAAAATGTTCTTGGGAGGGCATTACTTTCTGCAAGTTGCAGTAAATCCAGGGATGAGCAAAAAAAAAAAAAAGTAAAATATTTGTATACAATATTGGAGCAGTGTGGAGAATTTCCCTGAAGACTTGGGAGTTGTAAACAATAAATCAGTGGTCCCCAACTGAGGACAACTTTGTCCCTTATCTGTCATACTGGGAATCATCAGACTGGGGGATGCTACTGGTATCTGGTGTATAGAGGCCAAGCAGGCTTACAGTCATGCCACAATACACAGGACCCCCCCCACAGTGAATAATTATCCATTCTGAAATGCCAAAGTGCACCAACATTGAGAATCAGAAGTCTTAGAATAATAAAAACTTTTCATAAACATTTCTCAAAGCATTTTATATATGGTGTACTTAAGTCTGTATAAAAATGCAGATATATATTTTATTATGCAATGTAAAATACTAAGAATGTTTAGTCAGTATTTGTGTACACACATATGCAAAAGATTGAATCAAAGAAATATTCTTTGGTAAACTGGTTGACGAAATCTATTTTTCTAGTGCAAAGTCTTCATATTCTTCTTTTTGTTTACTGGGAAATAGATTATAATTAAATGTTTAAAGATATCAATATTCATTAATTAGACTATAATTTCTTAGAGACAGCACATGACTTATTCTTCACTCAGAAAACCTCTTTATACCATGTTTCTGAAAGCTACAATTGAAAAATCAATTTGCAAACATGACTGAACCTATCTGTTATCCCCAGAATATGCCAGGATCAAAAGACTATAGCTGCTGGACAACACAGAATACAGAATGCTTTATTAACTTTTAATTTAAAACTTGAATTTTTTTTAAATTTGCTTCATTATGGAGCCAGGTGACTTTCTAGATGCTGTACATAATTTGCCTGATTGGTAAATAGTGGAGCGTATCTATTCAACTAATTCATAATTTGACTTACAATAGTCTCCCCTTATCTACAGAGTGGGGGTTGTTCCAGGATTCCCCATGGAACTCTGACACTGTTGTTAGCACTGAACTCTAAACATGTCTTTTCCTCTACATACCCACTTTGAATAATTAATTATAAACTAGGCACAATAAGATATTAATAATAACTAATAACATAACCAAACAATTATACAAATATACACACTTTAATAAAAGTTACATGGATGGGGGTCTCTCTCTTGCACTTTCTTTTTCTCTCAAAGTATCTTATTGTACTTTCCCAGGGGTGAGAGAAGCTGTAGAAAGCAAAGCCACAGACAAGTGGCAACAACTGTAATTTTGTAAAGAGAAAGCTTTCTATAATGAGATTTAGTCATCACATATTTCCACCCATCCCGCAAAGCAAGAAGAATTAGTCCCAATGCTCCTGGTTATCAGGGCAGCAAGGCCCCTTTTTTCTTTCCCTGTGTCCAGCTCTCTAGCCCAGGTAAACAGCTATCTGGAGCCGGGCACTACCCATTGCTCACTCTTGCCAGCAACTGTGCTTCGAGGCTAACTGCTCTCCCTTCTGGACATCCACCTCATGAAGCAAACTCCTACTAGCAGCAGTTCCTTCGGAAACGTTATAGCCTTTCTTAATTCAAAGTTTTTAAAATGTACTAATATTCTTCATAACTCTGTCCTCCTCCACTTACAACTTTCCATCTTCCAACCTGGATTTTTCTATTTCTCCTGAGAAGAGCTGTAGTTTCTAGACATTCATCTCCTAGCTATGGCTTTCTCACAGGACCAGTGCTGAGTCACCATGTAAATTTTATATATGGGGGCTGTCTGGGAAGTATCCAGAGGTGGACTATACTAAATGGAGACATACAGGGCTGGATACTTTCCAGACACTTTCTGGACAGTCCTCACATATACAGGTATAGGGACAAATTAAATAGCTAATGCATCTTCAAATATGTTTCTAACTCTGATCCCCTTGGGCTTCCAATCCTCAAATATGATATTTTTGAAGAGCATGGCAGTGTGTATATTCAGCCAATGAATATCAGTATAGGTAAGAGGGAGTATTTTCCCCTACAGGGCGTGGTTCACCAGGAAATGCAATCAAGTTCAGGACAGGAGAAAAATAAAGACAGAAACTCTGTTGAGTAACCAAGTGGACATTTTAAAACATATACATTTTTGGTTTGGGCAAAAAATAAAAGCAGATAGAACCAGAAAAAGATGTAGTTTCCAAACATAAGAACTTGCCAGGGAGAGAAGAAGAGCAGAAAAGAGCACAATTATAGCATCCCATGAGGATTCCAGGACCCTCCCAAGAAGCAAAATTCACTTCTAGCGAGCAATGTTACTAAATTCAGACTTACTCTTAATTCAAAATCAATGAATTCTCTTTCACAATAAATTAATCATGATAATAACATCTTATATGGCTTTAAAAAATTAATTAAATACTCTCAGTTATATAGAACACAGTGAGGCTAACTCTAAATCAGTACCTACCCTAAAGAGTTTCCTTGGTTTAAGGAAAAACCTATGTACACTCAGCCAACTGGTCCTTTTCAGAGTTTTAGGGGTAGAGTAAAATCTAAGCATTATTATGAAGACTTTTCCAAATAATCTGAAAAGGAAATTGAATGCTTTCTTTTCTCTACATCCCTCTCCATTAAGTCAAAAAGAACTTTGAACATTAATTTAAGGAACCCCAGATGAGGAAAAATCATTCACCATTAGGAGGCGCTGAACTCGCTAAATGCAGGTTCTTGTTCATTACGTTCTGCTTACAGCGCCCCCTGTGGGAGAAAAATGATAGGTCTCTCCCGCCCATAGGCTGCACCCTGTTTCTGGTTAATGTAAAAATGAAATAGAACAGCTCTGGAACCCAGAGGGGAGGCCCGAGAGCACTGCTAAACCGAGGTGCTTGTGTCCATTAAGCATACTTTAAATACGTTTATTGATTAATTTGGGCGAATCCTGTAAACCCATAGCAACGAATCTTTTCTGGAAAAACAAATCTTTTGGTTAGCAAAGGCATGGAGAGTAAGACAAGCTGGACTATGGAAAACAAAGGATGAAATCCGCTGTGTACACGCAGCCCAGAAACCCCAACGCGCGGGCCAGGGGACCGCTAGGAGCGTCAGCTCCGGCGGCCCCTGGTCCCCGCCCAGACCCGGGACAGAAGGAGAGGTTGCGGGGAAGGACAGAGACACGGGAGGCGCGCTCGGTACCCGGAAGGCGGCTGCCTCTCGCTCGCGACTCCGCGGCCAGGTCGGGGGCAAGGTGGCGCCGGAGCCCGCACGGCCCCCGCCGCCGCAGCAGCACAGCAGCCCGAGCAGCCACCGCAGCGCCCGCAGCTCCATCCCGCGCCCGCTCCGCCGCCGGCCCCGGCCCCGGCCCCGCCCGTTTTCTCTTTCGGTTCCTCGGCTCCTCCCCCTCCACGGACTTGAGGGGCGGAAGGAGCTCGCTGGGGTGAACGATCCTGGCGACTG